GGCTGCTTCCTAGGCATTATCTTCCTGACATTCCAGAGGCAGCAGAAGCAATTTTATTACATTTTCAGCTTCCCAGATTTCTTCAGAACCTAAAAACTTTATTTTTGCAGCTGATGGGAGAGAGAAATAAATTGCATCTTAGCATGTTGCCATCATTCCAGAAATCCCTAAATATTTTGGACTTAGGACAGTGTGGTCTTCTAGTCTCTGTGATTTTGAGTTTTATTCAAGTACAGAACAGCATAAAAGAAGACTAAGAGAATAAAACTTTAACAGAAGTTTCCTTCCTTCTACATTATAGGTAGATTCCTGATGCTTTGAGGTAAAACTACAACATCCAGCCTATTTTATGTAGAATTTTTGTTTTTTAAGTTTGAGGGACAGGGGGCCTTAATGTTTATTTGTAAGATAGCCAATACATTTTAGCTTTCTTTATTTTTCCTAATCAAAACAGTATGCTGTTCCAATTAAAAGAAAAAGAAACATGCAAATATTATCAAATAAATATGTTGCTACATTGGCCAAACAGAATCTTTCACAGAAATTTCAACTTTGCACATCAGTAACTCTCTACAGAATTTTCAATCTGGTTATATGAATGCCGTTTTGTATTAGTGGTTGTTATCCAGGAGTTACTAAGGTATCTGATAATGATGGTGGGGAAGGAGAGAGGAAAGGAAGTTAATGACAGCCTGGATTCAGGCCTAGTCAGGGACAGAAATCACATTAGTTATTGTCTTGGATTAGTTATAACTGAATTCGAAGAGAGTATGGCCATTCTTTTCCATCTGGGTCTTTCAATATTGTCATCCATAGCATCTTTCTGTATTTTGGATATAATTTTTATTAAGAATTTTAATTACAGTAGTAAAAAGTAATACAAACTAAACTTAGAAAAAGAGAAAAAAATGGACAAAAAGAATAAAAAGTGCAGGAAAAAAGAAAAAAAGAAAAGAAAGAATATAATAAATGTAAGAGTTACCACATTCAGCGCCGAATGAAACTCTCGTGAAACACGGGTTCAAAGAAGTTTACTCAGCTGTAATGCAGATGTTTACAAGTAAAGCCAGGGTTGGCTTGGCGCAGTTACATACAGCGGTTTTATAGGGTTCCCTTCTTGACCCGGAGTTACCCCTTTTTCCCACGCTTCTCCCCATCGCCTGGGTTACTGGTTTGCCCACGGTATTCTCCCCCTCGCCCAAATGGCAGATTTAGCCATGGTTCTTTGTCTCCCTGATTGCTGTCCTTTGTGGGGTTGTTGAGTTCGTTGGGCTTTTCTCCTGCAGGCTAAACCAGGGCTCCTTAATTGCTTGCCGATTACTGCGCTTCTGAGCCGTTGCGGTTTGCGTTGCCTGGGGCGCTCAAGGGAAACCGGCTTTGTTAGAAAGTATCCGCTCCTGCCCTGAGTCAGTTGCCGCCACCTGCCAGCAATTGACTTGCAGTTATCCCGACTTCCTCTTTTCTGCTGCCTGCGCCTGAGGCGGTGAAATTGACTAGGGGTGGTGAAACTGAACAGCGGCGTTGGCCGTGCTGCGCCGGCTGAATCTGACAATAAAAAGAAAATAAATATATAAAGAAGTAACTTCCAACCTTCATCACAACAAGTATAAACAAATTTAATAGCTCTTCACCTCCTATAAGGTTAAACAGATATCTCTTCATCCCATATCCCATCCCTTATCTATAAGCAAATCTATAAAACATCAACCTTTCAATCCTGTTGTCAGCAAAATGTCCATAAAGGGTTGCCAGAACTTTGCAAAAAAAAAAAAAAGTCTTAATAAAAACCTTGATAAAATAAACCAACTTTATATTCCTTCCTTTTACTTCTAACAGTCTTTAATTCAATTGTTTAGAATTTGATTTTTCTTCAAATCTTCTTTATTCCATCACATAGATTTCTTCAAGGCTTTAACAAGCCTCTATTGTAGATCCAATAAAACATTTTCCAAGTCATTCTCTTGGTTTATCATTTGTATTTCCCTTTTAATTTTTAAGACTTCAGCCAATTTCTTTTGTATATCCAGTAAAGTATCCTTTTCCAAATCATTTTCTTGGCCTGTCATTTGTGGTTCCACTTTTCAGTACTTTCTCTGTCTTGTCATTAACATTTTTTAGATATAGTCTATCCATAGAAATAGACATCATCACTGACAGTGTTGATCTTGTAGTTATTAATTTCTGGCTCCATTCTTCAAAGATCTCCTTTAATATTTCCAATGTTATAATGTTTTATGTCATTTTGTAAGTCTCAGTATTAACTGACATCAAGAACAGGCTTGGCTTTTTTTTTTTTCCTGCTTAGAATCTTTAGTCACCTCTAGTGTCCAGTTTCTAAAATCATCATTTATCTTTGTTATTATTTACAATAGCCAGGATAGCTAAAATAAATCTGTTTCTCACAAGAAACTGTTTATTTTTTCTAAGTTAATTCCAAAATCTTAAAATCAATATTTCAAATTTATCTGGACCCTTAATCTGTTTATGACTTTCTTAGACTGAAATCTTATTTAGCTTTTTGCTGTTTATTTCAAATTCTTTAAGTTCTTAAGCTTATAATTA